GGAATCTTATGACTGTAGGCATTCTCTAGCTTTTGGTTGGATAAGCTTTTTGTTGCGAAGACCACAGTGACTTTGTCTGACACATTAATCAAAAGTGGTCATCTACTAGTCATGTTCAACCGCCAAACCAAATCTCGCAATCTTCTCAAGTTAATGACAAGCTTTTATAGTGACCTTGACCTTTGTAGAACTGACCTACACAGTTAAGACCAGCCTCCAACCAAATTGCAAGACAATAGACCAAATTGTTCTATAGTTATCTGTTGTAAACCCACAGCAACCTTCACTACTGACAGACTCAACCCAAAATCAATACTTTATGCTTTCTTAACATTGATAGATATGAGGAACTGGTGAAAATCAATCTTCTAACCATGACCAATCTCTACAAAGCATTCCCTAGTTATTGCTCTGACAAGCTTTTTGTGGTGGTCAATGTGACCTTGACCTTTGAAGAAATATCCCCTTTATCAATAAGGAATATAAATCTGCCAATCAAAACCAACCTCAACACAAATTCTAAGAACTAAAGGCTAAAGCATTTTCTTGTTATTGGTCATTGCCTATAGACGGCCACTATTGGTTTTGAGGTCATCAGGTCAAAGGTGAAGGTCATTTTAACACAATAAATTGAGTGGAATGAAACTTGTCAGTAATTCTCTACATTAATTTTCAGCAGAGACATGGCCCTTGGCCAGGGGATAACCCATACTGATTTTGTGGTCATTCAGTTTAAAAATATAATTATTGCATCATTAGGAAGTTTGCAATCTTTTCCAGTTCAAATGGATATGTATGGAAAAGAACTAAAATTTCCTTAAAAATGATAAATGGCTCTGTCTACATTAAATAAAGGACAAGTCCATGAAAGATATTTAACATGGTAAATGTTAAAAAAGGGACCCAGGGTTGGACTTAATGAAAACAACACAAGAAAAACTGGTGTTTACCTGAATATTTATGTATACACTTTCTAGTATATATATCAAAAGATGTGTACTCCACACATGTTTCACATTCTTCCATAACAGCTATATACACATAAACTAGCACATATCACTTGAGTAAGATCAGAACAAAGTAAAAAGCAAGGATAAAAATATGAACACATTTTCCTAAGGGTTTTACAGTTTGCATCATTATATATCAATAAAATATAACATGACTTGTATACATGAAGCAAGGCAAAATAATAGAAAAAGTCGGGGTGGGTTTGGCAATGGAAAACAAGTAAAATGGGGTTGAGGAGGGTGCGTGAGGGAAGTTCTGTGGCAAAAATATTTGATTTAATACATTCTGCATTAGACGGTCTGAGAGTATAAATAAATTTTCTTTTATTATCTCAAACTCAAATGTCTGGTAACTTATTAGTCAGAAACTAGCAAAGAAGGTTTACCGACCTACTGAAATTCTGTGACTGAAGACAGAGCACAGAATTTTTTTTTTTATAACCTAAAGGCCGGTATTCAGGAGCCATAATCCTGTAGAATGGGTCTCACAGTATTTATACAGAATACAAAATCTTCACACATCATATTGTAGCGAAGGAATGGCATTTGGGAAATAATGTTTCACTAACAAAGGCATGGCATTTGGGAAATAATGCTGGACTTCTAAATGAATGGCATCAGAAGAAATAATGTCAGAATACCTAAGGAATGGCATCAGGGATGTAATGTTGGACAACAAAAGGAATGGCACTGCTGAAATAATGTTGGTACTATCAAAGGCAAGGCATTGCGGAAATAATTTTGTACTTATACAGGTATTGCAATGCGAAAATAATTTTGGAGTATCAAAGGAATGGCATTTGGAACAAAATGTCTGAAAAAAAGGATTGGCAGAAAGGAAATAATGTCAACTACCAATCAAAGGCTCTTATAAATAATTTAAAAAATAATACTATATTCTGCCATCATCCATGGTTCACTTGATTTGATAGTGGAGAACCATGGTGAATGGATAAACTTTGTCAATTAATCATTTTGCTGCCTATACTAACAGGTAAAAACATTACTGGAATCATTCAAGCTAAAAAAAAATAAAAATAAATTGACTGGATTTCAAAATATTATAGAAAAAATTAAAACAAAAATAAAACAAAAAATATATGAAAATGTTTACAGGGAATGGTACGAAACATCACAAACAAAATATATAATTCATGGAACGTAACAGAAAACATTTACATCTCCGTAACTATAACATAATGTATTGAAAATTAATTAAAAGCATAGAAAAAAATTGATACATGTATGTTATTCCATAATCTTTTTCAGTTCAAAATGTTCTCTTATCTGCTTGCGCTTTATTTAATCAAACCACTTCCTATTACTATATATCACATACATGTACATGTAATTTAATGTAAATGGCATTTTTGCCATTTTTGACATTTTTTAGCTGTATCATATCATGTGGTACAAAGAATCTATATCTAATACTTTTTTGTGTAGACTAGCATCAAACACTCCCAAAGCTTCGGGGTGGGGTAATGAAAAAAAAAATATATATATATATATAAAAAGAGAAAAAAGCAGCAAAAAGTATAAAGGAATAACATGAGACATGAATATAATATATAAAAGAAGAATATGTTGTATAAACTTAACAGATCTGTAAAGATATAGGCAAGATCATCTATATAAAACAATGCACATTTTCCCCCCTAATATTTAACAATGAATAAATAGGAACACATATGAAATATTGCACAAAGGTTAATGTTTTTGGCAATAGCAATCTAAAAGGTAAAATATTAACATGACTAGAAAAAAAACATGAATGTAAAATTGTGAAATGGATTTATAAAGATCAAAAAACATAAAATTGATACATGGCCCAGCATGTGACTTAGATCTACTCCCTGGTAGTAATTCAACTTTACACAAGATTTTGAATTAATGACTTAATCTTGATCATTCTAATCCATTATACAAAATGACATCCAATAATTATGCAGTGCAGTAAATATAAATGTTTTTAACTAGTGAGAGAAAACTTTTGGCACTACTGTCTAGTAAATGATTCATTATCCACCAATGTTTCTTTACTTTCCAAAATCTTAAACCATATTGGCGACTTTCCAGCTGCTTTATTGGTTGAGTAAGACCTAAGCTGCCCCTGCAATATTTCAGGCAGGAATGGACACCTGAGTAGTTCCACGGATATTCCATAAACTAGCTGAATAGCTTCATCACATGAAAGAATTCAAAGTCTCTGCTGGGTTCGAAACCCACAGTGGTGAGAAGCAAGTGGTTTTAAGTCAATAAGGCCTAAACCACACAGCCATGCATGCCCCCTACTGGACATGAAGGTCACTTAAATAAAGACAGGTCAAACTGAACATCTGTGCAGTCTGACCAGGCTCTATACTCTTGGCTAATTCTTTCTTCAATTTTCATCTTGATATACCAAAATTTATAAAGCACATTTACAAACATATAATTTTGTTGTGTCCATTGTATAAATTCAGCAGGTTTAGGGTTCAAAGTTTTGGCATTAACAATTTGTCTACAAACTAAACAAAATGCACTATTTTAAGCAAGAAACATTGGTAAATTTATTTCTAAAAGAAGCTGCAAAATGGTTTACAATAAGAAATACATATCATAGAATATTATATGTGAATACAGCATCATATTCAAATGTGAAAGACTGTGCTAATTTGCTCCCCCCTATATTTTACCTTAAAATAAAACAAGTATGTCATCATAAATCAAAAATATTATGGCAAAAATGTAATTTCCATATGACAAATAATGACTGCAACCATGCATTACAATACCGCTACCATGTGACAATTATTGCAAACATATATTTCCATGTGGAAAAGCAATGATTGCAACAACCATGTGACAATGACTGCAACCATGTATTTCCATGTGGCAATGGTTGCAATCATATATTTTCATGAGGTAAACAATGATTGTAGCCATGTGACAATGACTGCAACCATGTATTTCCATGTGGCAATGGTTGCAACCATGTATTTCAATGTGACAATTATTGCAACCATGTATTTCCAGAAGGTAAACAGTGATTATGTCAATGTGGTATACAATGACTGCAATAATATATTTCCATGTGGTAAATTATAATAGCAACCATGTATTTTTATGAGATAAACAATGACTGTAACCATATATAAAGCATAACAACAAACCAGACTAGTATTACATTCTCAATAACCTTGTAAATTACGAACATTGCTATGCTAACTGGAATTAGTCCTGATTGGTTTCAAATTTTTGCTTGTTATCAGATTTGAACACATTATTTCTAAAACTGAATTTCATTGGTAAATTATAATGTAAATAAATACTTGTATGAAAAACATTAGTTCTTTGCACTAAGGTTAAATAGTGAGGCGTTAAGAATGGCTTCATCTTCATTTAATTTATCAAAGATAAATTGGAAAATGTTTTGGCTATTAATTTAGGCTGAGTAAGAGGACTTCTATAGTTTTACACAAAACAAATTTTATAATGGAAAATTCAATAAAATGGATTCTTTTTTGGTCTACTCTGATGTTTTTGACTAAAAGAAACATTTAATAAATACTAATTTGTAGGAATCTTGTCTTGTATCTTCATTCATGTAAAATACTAAAGAAAACATGTAGCAACTACAACAGCAGCGTTAACTTGATAAAATAGACAAAACAACACATCATATTTCCATGCACAATAGGTCTCTACAAGTCGGTGCAAATATGCTTTACTGTTTTATTTGAAAAGTTGTAATCTGTTGTGGCCAACCTACGTTATACTCCGGTATATCACGCACATGGAAAAATCTCTCCATTCATTTTTATTTGACATTTTGATTGCTTTTTAAGGTACAAAGACACTGTTAAGTTTTATATATGGTAACTTTCTAGCTGGACAGGTAGTAGCTCAAAATGTCTTTAACAAACACTCAGTATCTTTAAAAAAAATATTTTTTTTTGTTTTACTTAAAACAAGATTTAATGTAACCTTCATATTTCAACCAGCAAGGAAAGAAAGTTGGCCACTATGCTTTTAAGAATAGTAGATTCTGAATGACAGTACAGTTGTTATCTTTCTATGAATGAAAATTATCTATAAATTGCCTACAATAAATTACTTGTGATACCTAATGATTTCTATTCCATATAAAATATGACTTAACATCTTTAAAGAACTTCAATAAAAAAAACAACTGACTACAAAATTATTCAAGAGCACATAAAACATGCATGCTGTGAAAAAGAGAGAAAAAGTGAGAAAGTTTTCATTCACACACTGTCAAACACTATCATACAAAGAAATATTATTTAACAAAAGATAATGTATACATTAAAAAAGAACGTACATTTATACAATTGAAATAACTCTATATATATATATATATATGATATATATATTTACACTAACTGTATTTCTAACAAGGCACTGTTTTCATAATTTTGTATCACTGGGGATATTATCACACTTACTTCTTACCAAACTGACTAATCCTGCTTTGTTACCATTTTAAACTCGATATGTAAAACTTGGTATATGCTGCTTTTTATAAACATATTTTTGGGTAATATACACTTAGTAAGGAATAGGAAAACTTAGAGGACATATTTATTTATATACCCACTGATTTATATCAAAGGTAGAATTCCCAATTATCATTCTTATCATAATTTTATCTTGCCATTTTTTAAAATTATCACCCAATGATAATAATTAAACTATTTCTCAACTCTTCAAAATTATCTCTAATTCTTCTTTTGATGCTTGACTTGAAATTTGTTCCTCAAATTCTAGAATTACCACTAAATACAATCTTGGAATAATTTTTAAATTCTAGAATTAACAACTCAATTCTTGGAATAACTCCTCAAATTCTAGAATTACCACTAAATACGTTCTTGGAATAGTTTCTGAAATTCTAGAATTACCACTAAATACGTTCTTGGAATAATTCTTCAAATTCTAGAACTACCAACTCACTTTTTGGAATAATTTCTCAATTTCTGGAATAACCACTCAATTCTTGGAACTATTCCTCAAATTCTAGAATTAAGACTTGATTTGAAAATTCTAGAATCGCAACTGGAATTTACTATCCTTATCATCATTACAATGTCTATGGTAAACAGGTAACAACAATCACTTTTTCACAGATAAAAACAACAATATGAAAACAGTGGGATCAATAAAGACATAACAATTAATTCGTATAACAAGGAACAAGAACAATACATAACAAGAGAACCCTGTTGGCCCTTTGTGACTCACCTGTATCTTACAGTGCAAAATAATTGATGAAAAATATAAAAACTTTTAGATAAAGGCAACAGCTATTTGTAGTGAATCAATATAATAAAATATTTTCCTATGGTGCAAAATTAGTTAATTAAATAAAAAACCCATGAAAGAAAAAAAAAGAAAAACAAAGTTGATGTTTGATTTGGTTGGTTCATTCAGTAATCTTTTCGCTTTCAGCGAACATTTAAGGAAGATAAATATAGCCGCAGAAGTAAAAAAAATCTACATAAACAAAATATATTACAGATAAGGGACACTTTTCCAGAACTCGGTGTATACTTTTAAAATAATGACTTTTGGATATTTGAAGGAACACCGATACAAACTAGCAGACAAACACGGAACATCTAACAATCATAAGAGCTCAAAATGTGCATATAAGCTCAGGTGAGCTTTAAAAATTCATGGAATGATATAGAAATAGTGCATCTGATATACAATAAATTTACAAAACAATGCATACTTGAAACTTTTAACAGCCATTCATGGATCAAAATCTTGCTGTTCATGTGTAAAATATTCTACACACATGTCAAACATCAAAATATATGTTTCATAACAATTATAATTATCTAGACATTCTAAATATATGCTGTCATCTCAATAGTTTACAGATTTTCAAAATTAACCCTATATATATATATTTATATCAAAGAAGAATATCTCCCAATATTTTACAGTTGTTTAGAACTTATAACTAAAGGTGAACCTATCAAAATCCACCAATTTACTGGAATTTTATGGCTGACATTACGCTGTCATGTTTCGTATGTGTTAGACCATAGTCAAATTAAGACTCTCCCTCCCATGGAGTGACGACGTTTGTTCTAGGAACGCTGATAGCTAGACATGGATTCACGGCTTCAGACTTGCGGTTCCCCTCTGAATTCATCCCCTGGTACGTTGATCGTGGAACCTCCAAGTTGCTACGGCGACGTGGATCATTACTACTGGTAGTTAATTTGTTGTCGGAATCCATGTTTTCAGTACGTCTACGTACAGACGGGGAATTACTTTGCCTGAAAGAATGAATGATTATGTAAAAACATGGAAATCAAGATGGTCGTTTCTATTCATAAGAACAATTTTTACGCAGTTTTAATCTAGAAAAGTTTCATCAAATAACTATGTAAAATTTATATTCTGTTTTGTCAAGTATTCCCATATCTTATTTCTAAGAATTGTTACATCCTATTTTATTACATGCTTTTCGGTGGTTTATAGAAATATATCAGTGATATAAAACTGGTAATTTCACTGTCTGAAACAGTGAAATTACCACTTTGATAATTTCACTGTTTTGAATTTAAGCCCCTCATGTTGTTTCAGTGAAATACCAGCGTGCACAGAACTGGGTACCAACTTAATGACGTGACGTCGTAAATGACGTCACGTTGTATTATAATTTGGCGCGCTTTTCATTCAATATTAGGTTTAATGTCTTTTTAAAACGTTTCTTTGCATGTAATAAAAAGAAAATTTGTTTAGTTTAGTGTAAGATCGAAATATATTTCACCTTGTGAACACCAAAAGTTCATATTTCACTCGTGGCTGCGCCACTCATGAAATATACCTTTTGGTGCTCACTCGGTGAAATATATTCCGATCTTACACTGAACTAAACAAATATCCTCTATATATTCTGTTGACCTATGATCTTGTTTTCTATCAACTAACTTTTTAAGCATTACCTCCCTTTGATACAATTGAACACATATTCTCTTGTGTATTTAGAGAGTCATCTTTTTAACTTTTATGGTTTTGTCCTTCATTTGATATTTCATTTAAATCAATAATTGTCATTTGAAATATACATCAAGGACACATCATATTTTTATATTTCAAAAAAGTAACTTCCACCATTATCATAATTATACATGTACATGTATATCATATATATCCATACCTACTTGATGAGGGTTATATAAAAAACATGGCCATTAAAGCTGTTTTTTAGTCTTCAGAACAAATTTATAATATTGAGAAAACTGGGGGGGGGGGGGGTTTGTTTAAACTAAAAAAAACTAAAAAGTCATTTCATACATAATATAAATATCACCACTGTCCCATGAAAAGTGACGTTAAAAACATGCAATATTATGTAGACAAATTAACTCACATAACAACAAGAACAACAACAATAACAACAGGTAAATACGTTTGTACATCACACATTCCCTAACACACATACATCACATTAACAACAATATACACAACAAAATTAAAATAATAAATCCACCACCATACTGTTTTCCAAGCACAATCAAAAACAAACAAAAACAACATTACTCAAAAATAAGTTTATTAAATAATAATTTAACCCCTGGTGTGTTTAACAGTTTTTAACAGCCCAATCGAAGGTCAAGGCAATCAAAGGTCAAGGACTCATCAGGGTAGTTATTGCTAATAAACCAAGACTGGGAACAGTGCATGTACAAAGAGGGAAAAATGGACAAAAAGGTCACCCTGATTTTTTTTAAAAATACATGTATTTTAATGTTAAATATTCCTTCAAAATTTCCATTAATTTCATTTACCACATAAATAGTAATCAATAACTTAATTTTAAGTAAAATATGCATATTCAAAGTGAATGTGGAAATAACACTGGAATTGTGCAATAGTAAAGCTGAATTGTGCAAATCTATGGCCAAAATAAGCCATACTTAGGTACATAACTGACAAAATGTGTTTTACTATCACAAATTTTAGCTCATCAAAAAAACTTGTAACCACTGAAAATACAATTGACAAGAAAATGGAGGCAAGACACTCTCACAAAATGCCCAGGAATTTTAGTGCACATTTTTTAAGTCACACTCACACTATATGAGTTCATATGGTAACTTACAGGCGTTTCTGATGAAGGAAAACCTTTCCTGCTCCTCTGTGCATTATTTCAAGCACAAATGAGCACCAAACTATAACTTATAACTAAGCTGGCTGGATAGGTTCTTAGCATAAAATAATCTAAACTTCTGGTCAGGATTCAAAAGTAGGAGGGGCTAGAGAGTAGGAGGGGCTAGGCACCAACAATAACAACTTGACCACAGAGACTCCCACATCCTCAGAACTACACCAAAAAACAATAACTAAAGGTAAACGAAATGTTAAGCAATAATCTGTCGAGGTAGCCACTACGTATACAGGGTTTGTACCTACCCGTCGTAAGTGCCCATATAAATACTGCTATCAGATCCCACATATGAGGTTCTGAATGCATATCCAAAATATAAACACATAACATTACCACGCAATGCCATAACACAACTTTATAGCAATTTTAAAATTTTGTTTTAGTTTGATGTAACAAATAGCTTCAGTTAAAAAGTATTTTCGTGACAAAGAGTATGTTAATAAATTGTTGTGATTCTGAATAATTTTGAAGACCATCTGAAGATAATTGAGTCTTAAGTTAAAGATAATTCACTGATTGCTTCACGGATGCTTAAAGCAGCTTTCCTCCAGATTTATGATAACTTTAGTGGGCATATTTAAAATGTATTAATTATTAAAAATATCATAAAGTGAACATAGAAAGTAGACACTTAAAATGTTCGAAAATTGACAAAACCTGGTTTGAATATGCAAAAATTGCTTTTATTGCGTTAGTCACATAGTAGAAATATGCTGATAGATACTGGAAAAACAGTCATGAATTACATATTATCTGTGAATTATTTCTTAAATTGTGAATACTTTTACTGTCCTTTAAATCTAAGTACATTATTTGCAAGATTTATTTTATTGAAATATCTTGGCTCATCTGGAGGCTTGCAGCTTTAAAGATATTTCTATTTGCTTTCCTGGCTAACAAAATTTTATTTTGCGACAATCTAAGAATTTTACAGACAATGCTTGATGATGATTCATATATCTGTTTATAAGAGGAATTTTTCATATAAACTCTGGCTGCTGGCCACTAAATGTAGCCCATGATGAACTTGACATCAAAGGATGCTACAGCCAAGTATTGGTGATGACTCATACATTGGTTAATAAGATATTTAAAGCAGCACCTAAATTTAAAGGGGACACCAAAAAATTATTTCTCACATGACAGAGGATTATACATGTGTTTTTATATACAGGTATATGTTCCTAGGTTGTAACTGTAAGTAAGGGAACTTTTCAAAATAAAACATATTGCAAAAACAGGTGAAAATTTACTCTCCAGAAACATTGAGTTTGTAGGTACGAATTTCTTTTCTTCTTTACAGTGAAATTAGTCAGGTCATTATTGTACTTTCATATTGGAGGCCAAGCTTAGATGATCAGAGACTAACATAGTTTTAAATTCAGCTTTATACTAGATGAATAATTTTAAAAGAAATTTAAGTAAAGAAAAACAACTGTTTAGTGTCACAAAAAATATGTTTCCCTGTACATACCAGTAGATTTACATATTAAATCTAAAAGCTATTTGTTAATCAAGGGTCAACATAAAAATCCTCATTTCTTTAATAATGACAGAATATTGTTTTCAGAATAATATAATTCATGCGGCTTTAAACATGTAAATCTTAATTACGAGCAAATGGCAAGCAACTAGAAATAAAACAAAGACTATCCTAACAGTTTATAATCTATAGCTTGCAGTCAATACATGAAAACAGAGATGCATTTACACATGGATCTGCTTGCATACATAGAGCAAATGTTAAAATTATTATACATAAAACATAGACAAAATATTTAAACATGACTTCAAATATGCATCTATAATCAACATGAAATATATACTTCTTAATATATTTAACATTAAATAATATCATACATAAATTTTTAATCATCTTTTTTTAAAGTTTCACACTCATTCAAGAAACTACAAGGGATTCTAGTAACTAGTACTCGAGAAAGTACTTTCTGACCATTAATGATTGTTTGTTTGTTATTTCAGGGATAGCGCGAACGCAGTCCCCACACCAATAAATTGCGTACCCGAGTAACCCACATTTGGGGCTATCGCAGACGTCAGCCCAACCGAAGTGCAATGGAAGGGCCTCTTTCTGGGGAAACCGCCTTGCAGATCACGGTGTTCCCTGTACCAGGTAAGTATGATTTCACCACATTTTACAAGCTATTTATTCAACGTCTCGACAGCATATTGTTACACTTCAATTATACCATACAATTTAATGCTAATTTAACCATGATTTATAAATCAATGTCAGCATAAAAAAAAATCATTATTATATGAGTCATTAAATTGTACATTTATATTAATGATTAATGAATTAAAAATAATAACTTGCAAAAACGTCTGCTTAAATTGGTAAAATAAGTGATATTTTATTACTTTTTCCAACAGGGGTAAATTTCTATAAATAGAACAAAGCCAGAAGGGACTGTACTCTCCCAACTACTAATGCTATCAATGGGCACAACAAAGTTATCTCGCTATTGATTTTATCTCATCTTTACATTTAATTTAGTCTAAACAACTGTGATAAAAAAAAAAAGTGAAATGCAGTGTTATAGATATTGTAGAAAATAATTTCTGTATTGAAATATTTAGACGAACTTACTAAAATTGTGTTCTGTGAAATTATTGTTATTTTTTTTACTTTATAAATTAACCAGTTTGGCTTTAAGGTTTAAGAAGTTTAACCTCTGATGTAAAATAACCGAAACTTACAGGTTAAGAAACACTTAATATTACTAATAAAACATTCCTTTGCAATCTTAAATAAATTTTCCTTATTTAATGATCCCCTAAAAATGATCCTCCACTAAAAAAGAAAAAAAAAATTTTAATGACAGTTTCATATTATTTACTGTTATGCGAGTTTCAAATAATAATATTTATAACTTAAGTGTTGTTTAAAGATACTATTATTCAACTTTATGTTGTTTTCATATATTATTATTATCATTATTATTTATTGAAAATAACATTTTTATATAATATTATTTATTTTTAATGTTGTTTTCATAATAATATTAACTATTCTAATGTAGTTTTTTTCATCTAATTCTAACCATTTAATGTTGTTTTCATATAATTCTAACTTTTTAATTGTTGTTTTCATCTTTTATTTTTTACTTGTTTTTGGTTGGTTTTGTTTGTTGTTTTTTTGTTGTTGTTGTTGTTTTAAATACAAAATAAGATATTGTGGAGTTTCAGATAAAATCAATTAGCAGTTGATGTTTTTTTTAGATAATATAAGATACTATTTCATTTTTAGATAACATCAATAATTGTGTTACTTAAAGATAGATTTGTTCAAGATAACACTATAAATTATGTTGCTTTTAGATAACATTTGAAAACCATGTTGCTTTCAAGTTATATTGATGATGTTGTTTGGATAAAATCAGTCATACATGAGATTGTACAGTATAGAAAATAATAAGTAATGATAATTTTAGATAATACTTAAATCATGTTGCATAATAATAATCAGTTTCTGACTTGTTTTCATCAAAAGAGATATATGAATAAATTAATTTATCAATTAATGTTGCTTACAGAATGATGTAACCAAAATAAAAATTATACCTCTGAGATCGCCTTGGTTTTTCATCAAGTTCACGAAGGTTCCCAGTACTGTATGAATGGTACGCGGGTCCCCCTAAATCGCCATCGGCACCTTCGCTGGAAGCACTACCTCTTCGACGAACAAGAGGGCTTGGAGTCTTTTTACGGTTGCTACCAAAGTTGAAAAACCTGCAAAATATGATTACTTCATTTAGATTTTACCTTTGTTTGTTTCTTTGATTTTAACAGACTATTTTTTGGTCATATAATGGAGGTGGATCCACCTATCGCCTCTCCTGGATAACTTACCAGTAATTACCAATGTCTCCCGTAGTGAACGACTACATATCCCTCATGATTTCAGAATCAGCGATGACAGACAAAATGTCTTATTAGACAGTCGGACCTGATTTTTTCCCTTTAAACAGAGTGTTGTATTTTATAATATTTAAAGAATTGGTCGGAACTTTGTGATAATTCTTAAGTAATACAAAGTAAATTGTTACACTGCTTTTGTATCAGTTTTTCAAAAATAAATACTTTTTTAAAGATTGTAATCTCGTGTTTTTCTTACTTTTTCTTTGTATAGTGTGTTTGAGATTTGTCTAACAGTTGGTTATATTGGTCAGAGCGGAGAAATCTTGAATAACTGTCTTTTTTCATCAATGCATATACATGCTCCATGGCCGGTTGGAATATATATCTGTAAATAGAAATATAAATTGTATATAAAATTTATTATATAAAAATTGCTCGAAATGAAGATTTTACAAAATCGAGGAGCTAGCATTCTCAGGATCAAATGAATACCTACCTGCATACACCGATATTATCCATTTCCCAAGACTGGGAATTTCCCCAGATTATCATGAACTGTTTATAGTATATTTAGATCAAACATTGAGAACAAAATTCTAAGAAATGTAACGAAACGAGACTAAAAGTAAAACACTTTCCAAGAATCGTTAAAATTGTAAGTTTATTAAAATGTCAGATCCTATATGTATCAACATACAGCCAGAAAAAAATTAAAACAGAGTTAAAATTTATCGATCTGTCTATAAAACGATCAATTGGAACATTTCAAATTTACCTAGTTCTTCCCGACAAATCTTTATCTTCCTTTAACTGGGATGTAACTTTCTCGAGAGTTTTACAATCCACGTTCACCTCATGTATGGCACCAGCAGTTAAAAACTCTCTGTAATATAATATACATGTATATAGGAGCCGCACCACGACAAAAACCAACATAATGGGTTTGTGACCAACATCCGCGCAGTCTGATATTGATCCATGCTGTTCGCTTAAAAACCCTATAACAAGTAGAGAAACTGATAGCCAACAGCATGGCTCCTGATCAGACTGCGGGGATGCGCAGGCTGGTCTGGATCCATGCTGGTCGCAAACCCATTATGTTGGTTTTGTAATGGCGCGGCTCATTTAATATTATATTATATAAGGTAATTACAACGATAAATATACCAGTAAACTTCAACCTCGATTTATATAACAGGGCGATAACCACATCTAAACATAGAAATTTAACACTGTTGGGAGCACCATTTCTTGCATGAGTTTAAGAGTTTTTGGTTCATTTGATTTCCATGCTTTGTGTTATATTATATCACACTCTATCAGAAAATTACATCGCAAAACAGAAATTTTGACCCTCTTCTTTATTCGAGAAGATAGATAATTATGTTATGTATATTGATGTATTGAATAACTAAAACTTCACATTCAATTCATAACTGATGTCATTTATTTTTTAATCATTTAATCAAATATTAATTCCCCCCCCCACCCCCAAGAATTCTCGAATAACAAAAAATTAACTGATAATAATATCTCCACTAAATATGGTTACATAATAATTATATATCAATATTTGATGAAACAAAATTTCCTTACTTTTCGATTTTCGTCTTCAGTAAGACTACTTTTGCATTAGGACAGGTGACCAGATCTTTGCAGGTTCTATAAAAAGCTATATTCTCAATACTGTATTCCTTCTTCAAGAACTGTTCAAACTCCTTCTCACCCGTCTTGTCATGTAGCAGATCTTCAAAGCTAACCGCCCACTTCTTTATACGGTTCACAGTTGGTACATCTACTCTGTGAAACACAAAATAATTTCATATAATTCAAATAATGTTAAATGACTCATACAGAAAACAGTAACCTTTCACCACTGGTACAATATCTTAATTTTCTCTTTTCCTGACTTTTTAATGAAGAGTTTCTATGTCAACATTTTCCGAATTAATTTTGTATAATGGACTGGTCCAGCTTTGTTTAAGGTACAGTCTATTTTTTGACTGCTATTATAGCTGTAGAAAATGTCTACAATATTATAAAAATTTCAATAATGGATAATTAAAACAACATGTGGCGCCATGGCCCAAGTGGTTTACAAGTCAGACTAGTAATCTAAGGATTGCTGGATACGTTGGATCAAACCCTGTCAGGAGCAAGCAGTCTTTTCCATGAGCAAGGAACTTTACACTCGTTGCTTAGTACTGGTTGGTTCCAGGAAAGCATTCCAGAGTGCTTCAATAAGCTTATAGCTTCCAACACAATAAAACTAAAATAAATACCTCCTCCTGTCTATAGATTGGGGGCATGATGGTGAACAAGAGTGCAAACTTTCAAAACCATATGTTAATGGACTTTGAAAATATTTGAAGTTGTACGCAACTTTTAATGTAAATTTTAAGTAAAAAGGGGCATAATTCTGTTAAAATGCTTGATAGAGTTATCTTCTCCTTTCTACAGGTTGGGGTCATGATGGTGAACAAGTGTGCAAAGTTTCAAAGCCATATGTCAATGGACTTTGAAAATATTTGAGTTGGTACACAAAGTTTAACATAAGTGGTTGCGCCGACACTGACGACGCTCAGGTGCCTAGGACAGCTCTACTTATTCTTATCGAATAGTCGAGCTAAAAAAGGTCTCTCAACACTCCATGTGTTTTGAAAATCAAGTAAATGTTGATTTGACCATAATGATAAAAAACTTGTCTTATGTTTCTCAATATAAATATAACACACTGAAAAAGACCAAGATGGTCTGATTTATGAAGCATATGTGAGTTGGCCTGATTCATACGAGTTATTAAAGCTACATGCGCTCCAGATGAGTCAAAATATTTCAATAAAATCAAACTTGAGAAAAATGTTCTAAGATGTAAGGAAAAGTAAAAAGTGTCAAGATTCAAGTAATATTTTACATATTATGTGCGATTTATGACTGATTTTTCAGTGTTTACAACTATATTTCTACTGCGTTACTAACGCAGTAAAGGCTATTTATGCATATTTTGACCACTTTTTGGTAATTTACCTGGTTTGTAAGTGCCATTGATAATGTTTAAATTGTGTCCTTTTGGTTACTTCACAATATTACACATGAAAAAAAATATTTTCAAAATTTTCATGAAAATTAGCATGATTCTGGAGGCGTGCTGCTTTAATGAATACAATACCTTAGTATATAAAGATGGAGTGAACGAAATTTGTGATATAAAAATAATAAATAGTAACTTTCACTTTGACCTCTTAATAAAAAGGACTACAGTCACAAGTATGTAAGTATCAAATCTACATAAACATACTTATACACATCCTGCATGTCATTATTCAATATACATGTTTGATGAAAAGTGACACACTTCTAAACTTGATTATTTAACACATGGATATTGTATGCAAACAGAATAAAATGTTCTAGAACAAAATGTCCACCCTTCAAAGCATTGGGGGTGGGGGTGGTAGGCAGCACAAATGGCAGTCCTTTAAAAACATACAGGGGGAAGGGGGTGGGGGCAAATGTCCACCACCTCCAAAAAAGGAGGCAAACTTCTGGGAAGCAACTGTCCTGGTGTCAAAATTTATGTCCTAGAAAATATACACATATACACATGTATTTCTGTCATACAGGTTTTAAGGAATTATTTCTTTTTAAAATTCAAACAACAATTATGTAAACTACAGGTTGCAGATAAATAGATTGTTACATTTTATGTGTAACTGTGCGACGTCAGTATTTTGTATATCATGCATCACATTGACTCTATAGCTGTACTGTAATCTTTATAAGCAGCATAGACAGTCATTTTACAGTCATACCGTACATTAGTGTACCAAGATTCAGATAAACTTCTGGTTATTATATTGAGACATTAATAGCAGCAGAAATAAAAACTTATACCGAGGCTTATTTTTGTCTTTTTAATACTTCCTCTTTCAGTGTAAATGACTTTTGAATGAAAATATTTTAGAAACAATCAACATGTTTATTTAAATTTGGCAGACAACAGAGCCTTAGCAGATTTCATGAATATGCAAGCTGCCATACATCTATAATAACAGTTGTATCTCGGCCAGTTGAAATATGATCCATATATTTTAGTCCAATTACATAAAAGGCTAAAATTAAAATTAAACTTTTTTTCCTTCAACCATGTATTACCCTGTCCCTGTCTGTCAGGACCCTTTAGCTTTGATTTAGATTGTATTGCTATATACATTTTCTTGTTCACAGTCATCATTCTGCTTGTATAAGAATTCTGTTACTGTCCCTATACTCAAAATGTTTTACAAAAAATAAACAAGAGCTGTCACAGGAGACTGCAAGGTCGACTAATAAAAAACTGGACGCTGTAAGGAAGGCAAAACTATGAAAGAAAAATCAATTATGTATAATTATGTTTTAAGTTATAGTAAAAAAATAACATTGTAAACATAAATTCCAAGATCAAGGGGTATAATTCTAGAAATAGTCTCGCTAGAGTTATGAACCTTGTCACACAACATGTGTGTAATGATAAGAAATATATATTTGAAGTTTGAAGTAGATACCTTAAAAAGTAAAGAAGTTATAATATTTCATAAAGAAAATCCTAAGTTCAAAGAGAGATAAATCTGTAAATATTGCTTCAAGAGTTATAAAAATTGTCACATAAAATGAAATTGATGATAAGGTATGAGTATTTGAAGTTTGAGGTAGATACCTTTAAAACTTAAAAGTTCATAGTAAAAAATAACTTTTTTCTAATAAAAAAATCTAAGTTTATGGGGAGATAATTCTTGCAATATTGGTGTTAGAGTTATGAACCTTGTCACATAAAATGTGGATGATGATAAGGTACATATATGTATGAAATTGATCCCTTAAGAAATAAAGAAGTAACAGTAAAAATAGTATTTTTTAAGGAAAATTCTAAGTTCAAGAGGAGATTAATCTGAAAATATTGGTGCTAGAGTTATGAACCTTGTCACATAAGATGAGAATGATAATAAAGTACATATATTTGAAGTATGAAGTTGATACCTTAAGAAATAAAGAAGTAACAGTAAAAAAAAGTATTTTTTCAGGAAAATTCTATGTTCAAGGGGAGATAAACCTGAAAATATTGGTGCTAGAGATATGAACCTTGTCACATAAGATGTGTTTGATGATAAGGAACATATATTTAAAGTATGAAATTGATCCCTTAGAAATAAAGAAGTAACAGTAAAAAATAGTATTTTTTAAGGAAAATTCTAAGTTCAAGGGGAGATAAACCTGAAAATATTGGTGCTAGAGTTATGAACCTTATCACATAAGATGTGGTTGATGATAAGGAACACATATTTGAAGTATGAAGTTTATCCCTTAAGAAACTAGAAATGTGTCCATAGGCCACGGATGCCCACACACGCCATTGCTCTGTCAATCTTATGACTCTAGGTCAAATATTTTTTGGACTACATGTGCCACAAGTTGAAAACTAAAAATCAACAAAGGGCCATAATTCTGTTAAATTTGGTCGCAGCAAAAATTCCTTCCTTTACTACCATCTACACATTAAGGTTGTTCATCTCTGGAAGTTTAAGCAAAATCTGTCATCCGGTTTAAGAGGAGTTGCTTCACAAAATTTCTACATAGTATATAGTGAAAAAATCAACAAAGGGCCATAATTCTGTTAAATTTGGTCGCAGCAAAAATTCCTTCCTTTACTACCATCTGCACATTACGGTTGTTTATCCCTGGAAGTTTAAGCAAAATCTGCCATCCGGTTTAAGAGGAGTTGCGTTCACAAGATTTCAGGACGTATGGACAGACAGACGGACACTCGGACGGACAAGTGCAATGCTATATGCTCCCACTCTGTGGAGGCATAATAAAGAAGTAACTGAAATAAAAAGTATTTTTTAAGGAAAATTCTAAGTTCAAGGGGAGATAAATCTGAAAATATTGGCGCTAGAGTTATGAACCTTATCACATAAGATGTGGTTGATGATAAGGAACATATATTTGAAGTTTGAAGTTGATACCTTTAGAAATGACAAAGTTATAGTGAAAAATATTTTACTGCACCAAAACTTTAATCTGAAATCTGGACGCGGACGCCGACGCCACCGCCGACGCCGGGGCGAGTAGGACAGCTCTCCATATACTTCGTATAGTCGAGCATAAAACTTACAAGTCTCTATTAATATCCCACATTGTCTCGTCATCAGTGATCCAGGGATTGCTCGGTTGAGCTAGGCGTGGCTCTAACAGTGGATCGTACTGCATATACTGAATATTATGCTGGAAAAATCTGAAAATCACAAGAAGAGAAAGTTAGTAATTTAATGAAAGGTTACTTTGTGAAAAGATTGAACGTAAACAAATAATAGACATTTTCTATCATTATAGTACCCATTCGATCCATGCATGCTCAGGTAAGCTGATAAATATCAGTTTTATAGCAACGCATAACCTACCAAAAGAAAAAGAAACTTTTTTCTTTATAGCAACTCTTAACAAAACATTATAGATCTTAACTTTTTCAGCAAATCAGCAAATCCTTATTAAAACCCAGAAGTTTTTCTTTAAATACTTGTCAAAACAAAAGTGAAGATGCCTAAATTATAGATTATTTTTGTTTAAATGCTCAGAATTTTGTTTAATGCCCAGGGAAAAGTATCAGTGATGAAAAAAACATTAAATGAAATAAATTGATTTTGGTCAAAATAGCAGGCCGACCATTCATGTGGTCCAGTACTTCAATTAGCATTGGATAGCCACATCATATAATGAATTTCATGTCCCCATATTCAATGCATACAACTATAAGACATTTACAAAACGAAGGAAATATTTTCTTCCCGATTTCGTAATCTGTGGTTGCCGATCTTGTGATATCTAAATGCGTGATTGATACGCTGAACAAATTTCTCACAGAAATGTAAATATATATACAGAGCTTCTAAATAGAGAATCAAAATTCATTTCCCCCGATAATATTTGTAGGTCTGTGATATGTAAAGCATGTCTGGAGGACATTAATCAAATACTTTATTTATGTATTTTATATCCTAGTAAATTGTAGAGGGGAAAAACATCTTCCCTTTTCCTCTTCTGAATGAAAAAGAAAATGACATAACATCATGACATAGATTATTAATGTCTAAATTTAGAAACCACCGCAGTGACACAATTTTGTTTTTGATTTTGCATTTTCTTGGTTAGGTTTCATATGGTTTATTGATTAGACTTTATATATTTATATCTTTGTAAACTGTCGAAGAGAAAACATCCTCCCTTTTTCTGTTCTGAATATCATGACACAGTTTCTAAGTGTCTAAATTTAGAAACCACCAATGTGACACAATTTTCTTTTTCTTGGCACACTGACACTCTGTAAAGGTCATATGGCAACTTTTCAGCTTCACTGGTAGAGGAAGACCCCTCTAAAGGCTCTATGCATTATTTCACACACTAACAAGCATTTGAGTAGAATCACCTACCTTAATCATGTGAACTAGCTTGATAGCTTAATTATATGAAAGAATCTTAAGTCTCTTGCAGGATTCGTACCCTGCGTAGGGAGAGTGGGCCAAAGCCATCTACCTTTTCCAATCAGCGTTGAAGGTCATATAAGTGGCACACAGTAAGTCATACTGATTTAAATTTGGAACATAATGCTGAACCCAGGGAAATGTTAAGAGATAGGATTAGGTTAAAGGTTTAAACACCTTACTCGTGGGAATATGGGTAATTGACCTAGTGACCTTGATTTATATTTTAAATACCATAATCTATATTCAGTTTCAGAGATTACAGCATGAATTTTTTTTTAAATCATGTAACAGTATAGAGTCAGGTCCAGCTACAAAGATGCTGCCACCTCAGTCTGTACTGGTGGCAAAGCTTGGTATACTAGTACCTCACAATTCAAACCAATTTCATAAACAGTGGTGCTTTTAATAAATGGATGTAAAAATAGCAGTACGGTATCAACAAAGGATTTTTACAGTACAAGAATTCTGACAAATTTCTCATATTCAGTATAACCTCAGAGTTATGTCCATAGCTGACCCTATATAGAGCAATAACCTCTGTTACAAACATATTAATTACCAAACAGATTAATTTCTTTCAGATATTGTTAACGTTTCTAATGGCGTCAATATGTAATGCTGCTTTATGTGACGTCAGATGTTTACGTTGACACCATCAGTATTTTTGTTTTGTTATTATGAAGCTTGTCAGTTTAAATCTGGGACAATGTATTGAGAAAAGTCAAAATTGGTATGTTTCGTTTAACAAATAAGCGCAATTGTTTTTACAAGATAATTTACACTAAGATTTAAATTTAAAGATATAAAAGTTCTAATTACATTTATTGTGTAATTGGTATATAATTTTATTGATGATGTGAATGTTTATATGTGTATTATTTATTGTGATAGTACATTTTCTGATGATGAACCAGATAGGTTCGAAACCGGTAGATCTTAATTAAAATATTGTTCATATTTATCCGGTGTTGACGTGTGATTTCTTTATATTCTTCCTTTTCATCCAGTTTATTTATTGAACAGTTCAAATGTAAATGAATATTTTCAGAGAATTGCTAATCATTGGTTAATAAATTAACACTTACATGTATCAACCCTTATGAATATCAAGGAAATAAAAGTTAAAGACGCATACTTGTTTACATTTATTTAAAGAGAAACCAAAAGTTCCTGATCAACCTATTTACAAAAACAGTATCATTTCTTCCCAAAGTTTTGACTAGGCAGTACAGTACAACCAGTGTAGACCAACATCTCTAGGTTGCTGAGGTTTTACTATACTGTCTTTTGTTTGTCCATCTTGTCAAACATTTCATCAAAAACTAATTATAACTTTACTTAAAATACAGCACGTTTGTAAGATAACTTTTCATTGGATAATCTTGAGTTTTATATAATCCATATACATAGTTGCTGTCGATTTATAAAGTAATTTCATTTTTCTCTCTTGAAATGGAAGTTTGCAGGATTATAAGTTCACTGTCAAGATTCTTGAAAGGTTATATGGCCATATATATACACTTGTTTGTAATATAATTGGAGCCATTATATACAAACAACCATTTATATAGGGCCATAATATAACCTGTCAAAAATCTTTTTAACTAATAATATAGACTTTTTGGACACAATTTTATATTATGACATAGAACTGTCTTAACTATGAATAAATCTGGGCCTCATGCTAAGGAAAACCCTTATTTGAATGAAATACAATCAAAGAGCAAAATTGAACGATTGGTTTCACAATATCTGATTAACAATGTCTCTATTCAAACATTTTTTTTTTAAAATAAACAAGGAAATTAAGTCAAATATGACATAATAAATTTATATTAAACACTTTTATTGTCTTGTATTGAAACTCATACTGAATTATTAATCACAATATTCCAACAATTTTTTTAACCTTTTAGATAAAAATTATTGTTCTTTACAATGATCGTCTTGTGTATATGTTCTTTTTCTTTTCTTTTAATTTAATTTCAGTGTAAAAAAAAATTATGTACAAAACTTACATTTCAAGTGATTTTGAAAACTTCATACGTGGTTTTGTCAAGGCTTTCTTCAAATACGCAATCTGGAAAAACAACAACAATTGAATAGAACTTTCAAATGTTTTTAGTACATTTACATTTTCAACAGAAAGAGGCAAATGCATCAGAACAAGAATCCTACTCAGTGTGTGGGGGATCTAGCCCCTGGAAATACAGGTTCATTATAAACATGATTCTTTGGCCCAAAGAGTCAAAGAATTGAGTCTTACAAGTATTTGTCACTTATTGTATTCACATTATAATTCAGGTAGGTAGAAATATACACAGCATGATCACATCGCCTTAGTGCAATAATGAATAAGTTCTTCTATATTTGATAGCAATTATTCAGTTATTGCACTAAGGTGACGAATATTACTCACATTCCTATGCAGAGACAGTCAGATTGTAAAATACCTATTTAGCTACCCCATCATTCATTGGAACTATCCCTTGCTAATTTGGCACTTAAACAATATGCAGCACATTTGACCTGGCAATGCTGGGTCAGATGTATTAAAAATTGACTTATAACCCCTGCTCCCCCCACCCCTCCCCCCCCCCCCCCAACAACTCACTCTGTCCTGGGTTGGTAGGCTAGGAGTATAATTAACTACTGTATTAAACTTATTGTCACTATGAATGTATATATTTAACAACAATTGACATCAGACTCAGTGCTTAGCTTAAACAAAAAAAATCAATTAAAATCTTCTTTTCTGACAAAAATACAATGAAATAGGGCAACAAATAAATGTTACTTTCAATTTTTGTCAAACAGAATTCAGATTATCAGATATAAATTTCCCATGTCTATCAGCTTCGTTTCCAAGCTTTATCATTAACTAAATATATATGACAAATGTAGATAGATTTCACACAATGCCTATAGATAACCTGTAAGTAATTAACAAAACCTGTGACAACATCCTAGCAAAAGTGAATAAGCTGGATAAAAATAATTCTCATCAGGCAATGACCTTAGTAAGGCAGATTTTATCTTGACTTATAAGATGTAGGTTCTTGACACTATGGTATTTCTATGAATGTGTGACCTTTAAACTGTGATATCAAAACATATTTTATATAATCATGCATTCTTGTACTAAATTCTAGCTTTTCAAGTAATGACATTAAAAACTAACACATGTCAGAACTTGAAATGCAGTACTTTTAGAAACAATATACAGTATTTATCTACCTCTTTAACTTTAAGATCCCTATTCTTCTTCTTTCTTGCTGCCATTTGACTTGGTTGAAAACATCTGCTTGGTCCTTCCTCCAAATATTTCACTTGACCAGGCTGTAAGAGATGAAAATATCAGTTTATTATAACATTTTTTTGAAAATTGTCTTTCCAAATGTCCTATCTGTAAATTTCTTAGTTGGGATTTTGTCATACCTGTAATTTTCATGAGAGGGGATTTTGTCTATCTGTAAATTTCTTAGGAGGGATTTTGTCCTACCTGTAAATTTCATGAGGGGATTTTGTCCTACCTGTAACTTTTATGAGAGGGGATTTTGTCCTACCTGTAAATTTCATGAGAGGGGATTTTGTCCTATCTGTAAAATTCTTAGAAGAGATTTTGTCCTACCTGTTACTTTCATGAGTGGGGATTTTGTCCTATCTGTAAATTTCATGGGAGGGATTTTGTCCTACCTGTAAATTTCACAGAAGGGCATTAAATTTTGTCCACTTTCTCATTTTTAGATGGGAGGGTTTTTGTCCAACACTGTAGCAGTATAGAGTACAGTCAGGCCAGCCTGCATACCTTTTCAGTCAGACTAGATTCTACACTGTTAGCTGTGTTTCAAACTTTATGTAGAAATAGCTTGAATAAACAATAAACATATCTAAATGCAAACAAGAGCAAGTCCTTTCTAAAATGCAAATCTTTCTAAAATGCAAACAAGAGCAAGCCCTTTCTAAAATGCAAATCAGGGCAAGTCCTTTCTTAAATACAAATCAGGGCAAATCCTTTTTTAAACACAATTCAGGGCCAGTCCTTTCTTAAATACAAATCAGTGCAAGTCCTTTCTTAAACACAATTAAGGGCCAGTTCTTTCTTAAATACAAATCAGGGCAAGTCCTTTCATAAACACCATGACCATGAAATGTTGATGGATATAAATACAACAAATGGTATATCTTACTAGTCTGCACTATGTTTTCTGGACTTTAACTCAAAATGCATGCTTTACACATATATTTGTGTTCAAAAATCAAGTAAAGATGATTTTAAATTTTGTTGAAAAAAATCATAATAACCTGTATGGTACATTTATTATTTTGCATATCTTCTTTTATTTTCTCTCGTACTTTCTGTGTTAAAACTCTCCGCAATTTTTGCGTATGAATATCAAATCCTTTCACTTCAAAGAAATTTGTCATGTCCATACTTTTTGGTCGTTTCCGTGGAGATTTGTCCACGGTTTCATTTATACTGTGTAAACTTCGTGGATGTTTTGTCTTTAACAGTCCAGGACTATAACTCAAAGGTCTAGATTTTCTAGGAGAAAACTGGTTTTCTGCAGAGTCTAAACTTCTTGGTCTTTTTTTCACATCTATGGTAGGATCAAATGGTGCAATATGAGGAGGGGGGTAAAACTTTACGTGCTGTATCACTGATTCTACCATGATGTCAGGAACCGAATCTTTAGACTCGCTTTCCATGTCCTCTTTATCAGAGAGATCCACCATTTCATCTAAAATTTCTGCATCAGAAGCAATACTATGAGACAGTTTCGGTTTCAACTCCTCGTGATCTTTCGTCTCTGTCCCATCACTAGGTATGTTGTCATTGTCAGCGTCACAAGCAGTCTTTTCCTGTTTAGTCTCTTCAGCATCATCCGGAGGCTTGTCTTCAGACTTTTTCCGAGGTTCCCCACAGTACACTTGCTGACTATTCCTATTCCATGGTTTCTGGGAATCGCTCCTCTGCACGGTTGCCGTGCGCTTCACAGACTCCGCCTCCTGTGGCTCCTCATTCTCGGGTTTACCTGCCACACAGCTAAGACCTCCCATTGTAATGTCACACAAACATGTCAACTGAAAATTTTCCCGAACTTATCCCCATACATCGAATGTACATGTGTACCTTAGCAACTACTGTGCAACTATCTACTTGAATTTTAACATTCCATCAATACACTATAACCAAATCATTAACATTTATCTCCGAATGACAGCAAATAAACATAGTTCCACTGCATGATGGATCCACCACAAGAAAGCCTAAGCACAATTGCACATAAAATTTAAATTCTATGACTTTCCAAACTTTGAAAAACAATGCAAAAAGATATAAAATTTCCTGTACAGTAGGTCAGACGGAGAAACAGGAAGTTTTCAACATTAATTTTATCTTATGTTATTTCAATGTCACCACTTCCCTTCTACACACACATGAATTCAAGTGCTCACAGGGGGCACTTATAAGGGGAGAAAATATAAGTGAAATTTGCTGATGTAATGATCTTTCATTTCTGTTTTCTTCCTAAAATTATAATTCATTTTTGGTCACAAGAATGTTAGTGTCTTAATTTATTACAGAGGTAAGTATGACAACAATTTTCAAATCAAGTGTCCCTCACTTTGCAAGGTGTTAACATTAAAAATATCTAAGATATCTGCCTTCTAAGACCTTGTAGATTCTAACAAGAAATTTCCTATAATTGTTCCTATGCAATAAAATAAATCCCCACCTCTTTCAGGGATTCAGTTCTAATCTGAGGGCTATCATTTGAACAAGCTTGGTAGTGATCCATTTATCCTTGTATCATAGTTTGGGGATCTTTCTGTTGAAAATGTGTCAGAGTTAAATTGTATACATATACATGCAAAATGCGTAAACTGGAGTGCAGGTATTAGTTACCTGCACTCCAGAGCATGCCCATTGATTGGCTCATTTATGCTGGGGTTTACATATTGTGACAGCAGAGAAAGGGAAAGCGACAGAAATTTCATATTCAGATGTTCGTTCATTGGTTCCTTTTTGTCGGGGTTTCATATTGTGACAACAAGGAACGTGTTTTTATGTTTGACTATGATACAAAAGAGAAAGAACATCAAAACACTCCGCAATCTGATTAATACTCGGGGGCTACGCACCCTCATACAAATCAGATAGCCTCGTGTTTCGATGCTCTTTCTATTACATATTACACATTTAATATTTAAACACTAGTCATTGAACTTTTATGACAATGAGATGATTTTTTATGTTAGCAACCTTATATTAAATTAACTGACCTCTAGGGTGGTGTCAATTTTCACTCAAGGGCCATGATTTGCACAACCTTGATTCAAGTTCATTAATCAAAAGACCTTGTGATTTCTAACTAAAGATTTATTAGTTTTCATAATGCAAGCATAATATATTAAACCAAGTGACCTTTGTGGGGCCAATTTTGACTATGATGCCTTAGTATAGGACCAACAGGCCATGTTAACATAAAATACCAAATCTCTAGGCCTTCAGAGTTAACACAAAAAAGATTTTTAGAGCTTTTCCTTCATTACTTAGCAGTAAAATTAGGTGACCACTAGAGCTGGGCCACTTTGACCACAGTGTCACCATGTAATACTTATATATAAATATCAACAAGACGATACTTACATCAAATATCTTAAGCTCAGGATACTTTACATCAAATACATCAAATATATCTAGGTTTTACAAGTTTTTTTTTAAAGTTTCTAAAGATTCATTAAAATGCACACCCTATTGTTTTGGCTCAGTGAATGTCTTTGATAGAACTTCAAGCCAGGTATATGAGATGCAAGTTTCCTCAAAACTTGCCAGTTAGTTAAAGAGATATCACACAACAATCATGGATGACAATTGATATTTATCAATCCCAAAAGCTTGCTAAGTCAGCACAGGTGAGCTGATCAGTTACTGTAAGAATCATTATCTCAAATTTAAGAATACGACAACATAACCTGAGATGAAGGCTACAATGTAAAGGTAAAACTTGTAACAGTAACTGTTACTATCTAACATAATAATCTCTTATATCACTTACATATTACAATACACACAACTGTCAACTTCAACAAATAAGAAAACAGTATTTGCAATGTCATTGAATGACAAAGCACCATTAACCTACCATACTTCTATAATAGACTTGCCCAGTTTTGAATCCGGCACTGCCCGCTGGTAATTGGAGGGTTAGCAAGATCAAAATGCTGAATACACCCATTGACATCTATATGAACTACCTAAATAACCGAGGTATATCGAGTGAAAAAATACCAGTTGTTTCCCTTATCTTAAAAATCTTAAAATCAATATCTCTAATGCTAAAACAATGCAAATTTTTCTGTTTTTAAACCACTAGTTTGGGGCTATTTAATGTCCGATTTTAAAATTTATTTCACCAGTGAAAAGCTTGTGATCTTAGCTTCTTCTCAGTATATATTTCAACACATTGTTTGACACTAAAGGTTTTTAAATTTAAGGTTGAACCTACCACAAGTCAGACCATTTTACATATGATTTATACAATGAGCTACGCAACCAGTTATCTTTACTCGCAATTCTACTAATATGAATAGCCTCTTGTCTGCTAGTCCGGAGACTGTCAATCAGTGTATTTAACCCTTAGCTTGGTGGAACCAAAAGTGATAAGCCTTTGTCACTAGTATAAAGCCAGACCAGCCTGGGTATCAAGGTGTAGTCTGACCAAGCTAGCTCAAATTTTTTTTGTCTCAATATTTGAAAGCCCTTAAATGTTGAATGGACTGCTCCAAATTCAAAGCAGGGCAAATCCATTACACAAATTCAGCAGATAAAGCTGGTTAAAATATAGGCTAATGACTATGTTTAGTGTCTGGTTGGGATTTTTTATCCTCACCTATCTGCAATGTTGCAATGCACTTTTCACCTAAGGGTCACTGTCTTACCCTTTCATCTAGCATTTATACTAAACAATAACAGCATGATATTTTCTATTTCTGTCATATCAGTCAATGAATATTTCATAAAATATAAATATTTAGAATTTGCCACTGATAAGATCAAGGTTAAATTCATTATTGAGTTATTGGTTATACAGCAAAGCTGGTGCATGCCTTTTTTTAAAGGCATTATTGAATGATGGACAATATTTCATAACAACATGTTTACATAAACTGCCAGTATAATGGCCTGCACTGCTTGCTATGTGGTATATGCTCACAGAGATACTCCGGAACTAGGCAATTACCAGTTATTCCCCATACCAAAAAACATTCAGTTACAAATTGATGAATATAGTTCAAAAACAAGCAGAACCCATTGATAACTCTATTGTGGACGATAGTGCACCATAAAGCTGTAACAGTAAAAGTTTGTTTGTACCTAGAGACTAAAATGAGCCACGTAACAACAAAACCAACATAGTGCGTTTGCGATCAGCATGGATCCAGACCAGCCTACGCATCCGCGCAGTCTGATCAGGATCCATGCTGTTTGCTTACAAACCCTATAACAAGTAGAGGAACTGATAGCGAACAGCATGGATCCTGATCAGACTGCGCGGATGCTCAGGCTGGTCTGGATCCATGCTGGTCGCAAACCTATTATGTTGGTTTTGTCATGGCGCGGCTCTAATGTAAACTAGAAATGTGTCATCATGCCACGGATGCCCCCGCATGCAGCCAAAATTTCAAATGCTATAATATTTAGTTCCAAATTTGTTTGCACAAATTATTTTTTTCATTCTATGTTCAAAGCCCTTAAAACTTTTCAATGTTAACACAAACCATTTTTATACAATGTTTAAGGCACTGAAATTATTCAGTCTTAACCTTTTGAAAATAGCATATTGCATATTTGTAGCCAAAATAATGGCTATATACATTTCCACAAAAGTATGAGTGCTGAAACTGAAAGTTCAAAATTTTTCCAACATTCAGGAAAGATAAGTTTGTCCAAAATCATTGAACAACGACCAAATTCCAACTGAAACTGCTTATTCCTAAGATGTATCTATATTATTTTCAAAGTGAAAGGGACATAACTCTGCCAAAAATCATCGAACCATTACCAAATTCCATCTTGACCTGCGCATTCCTTTGACATATCCATATGTCAAATTTTGAGTTGAATATGTAACACTGTTGGGTTGATAATGAACAGAACTGTAAATTTTCATATCATTTTCAAAGTGAAAGGGGCATTACTCTGCCAAAAATCATTGAACCATGACCAAATTCGAACTTGGCTGCGCATTCCAAAAATATATCCATATGTCAAATTTGAGTTGAATGTGTAATACTGTTGGGGAGATAATAAACGGAAACTGAAAATTTCATATTATTTTTAAAGTGAAAGGGGCATAACTCTGCCAAAAATCATTGAACCATGACCAAATTTGAACTTGACCTGCGCATTCCTTTGACATATCCATATGTCAAATTTGAGTTGAATGTGTAATACTGTTGGGGAGATAATGAACGGAAACTGAAATTTTCATATTATTTTCAATGTAAAAGGGGCATTACTCTGCCAAAAATCATCAAACCATGACCAAATTTGAACTTGACCTGTATTTTCTCATGACATATCCATATGTCAAGTTTGAGTTGAATGTGTTGTACCGTTGGGGAGATAATGAACGGAAACTGAAAATTTCATATTATTTTCAAAGTAAAAGGGGCATAACTCTGCCAAAAATCATCGAACCATAACCAAATTTGAACTTGACCTGTATTTTCTCATGGCATATCCATATGTCAAGTTTGAGTTGAAAGTGTTGTACCGTTGGGGAGATAATGAACGGAAACTGAAAATTTCATATTATTTTCAAAGTAAAAGGGGCATAACTCTGCCAAAAATCATCGAACCATGACCAATTTCAAACTTGACCTGTATTTTCTCATGACATATCTATATGTCAAATTTGAGTTCAATATGTGCAACGGTTATTAAGATAATGAACGGAAACTGATGATGACGGAAGGACGGAAGGACGGAATGACGGAATTACGGAATGACGGAATGACGGAACAGGGTAACACTATATGCCCTTGCCATTATATGGCGGGGGCATAAAAAAAACGCACATTTGCCGAATTCTGGAAAACATCTTTTATAAAGAAGTGTACATAAATGACATAACGACAGCAATTTCTATAACAAGAGCCACTGCCTAGCAGGGGCCATGAATCAATTCCATGAACCATTAGGAAACTTATGGCCAATTGTAGCAAAGCCCACTAAATTTGACATCAAGTGTCAAGGGTCAAATTTAAGGCAAAAATCTAGCAAAATTCACAAATTTGACCTTGAAAGAAATAAAAAATAGTCAACTTTAAAGTTCCTGAAAGCTCAAGCGGGATAAATCTTTGTAAACAACAACAATGAGCAACATCATGTCCAGGGAGTGGTTATTATTTTCATAGGTTGTACCAGTTAT